CATTTGCCTGGGACTGAGGGGATTCCCAGGCATGGAATTGATGTGCTAAAAGTGGGAAAGTCCTGAGCAAATGGGAGTGAATGGGTGACCCTAGTGATCGTGTTCTATTTACCCACAGCATTGGACTTAGCTTAATACTGGCTTTAACATTTAACTGAAAGTCTGGATTTGTTATATTCCTGCCACTAAAGTCTGGCAGTGTTGGATAAATATAATGCTGGCAACTTCTCTGGCATAGCTCAGAGCAAGCAGGTCTGGAGAGAAAGTGGAGAGAGTTTTTGTAGAGTACCCAACCTTACAGCACCTCATGAATTGAACCAAAATCCAGGGCCCTGAGAATGAGCCCCCTACTCTCCTTGTGAATCCCAATATTGGCTTGACTACAGGACTAGGAATCTGCTTAGATTTTTACCTCTTAGCCTGCCTGGTACTCCGGTTTTCATTTGCTAGGCTCTATTCCTTGCCCAAGTACTCTAAATAAAGTTTTTGAAGTTGAAGACAAGTTAGTGTATCGCTTTGGAGTTTTTAAACATGCTTTACTTTCTCAATGTGCCGGAACATAGTGAAACAGAGATCAGTAGCTATGTTAATGTGCCTGCATATGCTTCCTAGTTATATAAAAAAATATTTTGTCGAAACTCAACCTTCAATTTGTAGAGACAAAAACTGATCAAATGTTCAGTAAGATGATTAGTATGTATTTTGAGGATTTAAAAAGATTTCCCTTCCTAAAAAGGAGGAGAAGGATGATGGTAGTTACGATAAATATGTTATAGCTAACACTTATTATGGTAATGTTCTTAGTGCTTTACATGAATTAATCCACTTAATCCTTACAGCAGTTTTGTCAGTGAGGTACTGTTACTATAGATCATTAGCCTGCAACAAGTGCTATTACTGGTTAGGAAACTGACCAACCCCACAGTCACGCATCTAGGAATTGGCAGAGTTATCATTGGAATCCAGGTATTTGATCCATGACACTCCTATTTTTCATGACAGATATAATGTGGTGTTTAATATTTTGATAGTATAATGTTGTAGCTATAATGTGAAAAGTATTTTCTAACTGTGATTTCAGTTTAAACTTTATTTTTTATTAATTAGAAACTAAATTAATTTTATTCACTCAAGTCATTCCAAATTAAAGTTATACATGATCCTGGAATAATCTTGAAAAGTTGTGTGCGATTCAGCTTCCAGCTTCTTATGATTTGAATCAGTGTCATTATCCCATTTATGGTAAAGAAACATATAACCCCTCCTGTACGGAAGGGTGGGGTGGTATTAAAATGGAAGCCAAAGAATCATCAGCCTGTTGGCCCAGAATATTATTTCATGTAAGAGAATGAAAGAAAAAATCATGGTCATATTTTAAAAAGACTGTGGACCCACATTGTAGTGACTAGGAACCTGACACCTAATATTTGGCAGTAGGGACCCTCAAAATCATCTGCCTATCATTCTTGCCCCAAAAATATTCAGCACAATCCAAAAGATACAGTGGTTTCTTAGGGTTTTACTGTTTGGGAATTTTATAATTCTAAATAAGACTGTTTCACCACTTGCCTACACATTTTCTAGTGCCCAGAACAGCAAAGAGAAGGAAGTACCCAAGAAGCTGTTTTCAAGGCTGATTAGGGTAAAATCTAGCCTACAAAATGCAATTACTGGTCACGAATAGATTAAAATGACCTACCATCATGAGCATTAATAGTACTGTCTCTGGCTGTATTAGAACTTGCTAGAGATATACAAAGCACTATCATGGACTCATTCAAGCCTCAACGACCTAGAGAGTTAGCAATTAGCATCTCCAGTTGACAAGTAAAGGGAGAAATAGAAATACTAAAGGTCTCTTCTGGAGTCACACAGTATTTTGAGTGTAAATCTGGCACGCTTTGCACTGTATGTAATACTTATAATCAGACATGCACGATGAGAAAGAGAGCAGACTCCTTCAGATTTGTGACATTAATAGAGGGCATCAAAAGAAATAACCAATACTCTGTCATAAAGCTTATTTCAAAAATGACAAAACAGGACTGAAAAACTTCTGTAATTAATTCCTGTTGCCAATACTCTTTATCCTCCATAAGGACATGAATAAAAATCTTAAGCCTTTAGAAATCTACATCAGGTCAGACATGTTTTTGTTTCTTGCTTGCTTTCTCTCTCTTTCTCTCTTGCTCTCTCTATGTATATACATATAGACACATACACACACATACATGATACATATTATGTATGCAAAAATACTTATATGTAAAAGTTTTCTTATATGTAAATGTTTAATTTACCTGTAAGGTATGCAGAACACTTGCATACAGAATTATATATAAATGAATGATGCCTATGTTCAAGTCCACTGAAAATAATGGTGCCTTGTGCAGAGTGTGCTTTACAGAAATATTAATGCTAATGGGATTGTTTCAGTGGGAGACATGTACTGTCAAGAATTGCACACAGTTATAAACAGTGCCTACGGCTAAGTTTACATGCTAATGCTTTATTGGGGTACATCCCAAGACACAAGAATGAGGAGGTACAGGGAAAAGAAGGGAAGCAATGGTGCATTTCTGAGCCTGACAAGAAACCTAGCCAATCACTTGGCCATATAAGAAACCTCCAGAATGGAAGATTGGAACCACCTGACCTCAGAAATGTCTGTTCCAAAGGAGGAAAAGTAAAGAATTTGTTAGCTAACTTCCCATCCCCATTTTTCATGAGTCATCAAAGTTTGCCCCATGAGGCCTTAACTACTCCAAACTTGTAGGTTGTGTTGCCCAGCCCTCCAGCCAGGCACAGGACAGAGAGCCTCTTTGGACCTAAACCTGGACCTTCGGGGATCCTTTTATGGGGGCTGTGATGGAGGCATGCTGATGCCCAGCTCTCATCCCAGGAGGGGCTAAGACAAGGTGACAGCTTTGTGGCCAGTACCCTCTACTGAGCAAAGTTCCAAGGCATGGGGAGTAGGGATGAAGAGAAATAAGGCCAAGAAAATCTAGGTCAAACAAACTGGGTCCAGTACAATCAATATTGGTATTTATATTTTTAGCTAAGTAAATATTTATAGTAGAGTCATATATTGATCTAGATTACATTTTCTCATATAATTTAATCTTTTCCTTCTTTATTTTATTTTCATACTTTTCATTTGTTTATTTTTATGTAGTCAATTATTGATTTATCCCCCAACTCTGATAAATTGTAGAACTCTATCTCTTCAAGCTTATCAATCAGGTAATCTATCAGACATTTTTCCTTCCTTAGATGAATACTGTGGAGCTCTTTGTCCTTACTCTAGTCTTGACTTTTTGCTCTCTAGATTTGCTCAAATTTATTATTCTGAGGTCATGCTTTACTATGATTCTGAAATTTTCCTTTGATTCTCCTACATGTGGCTCCCTGTTTCCTGAATCAGCATCTTCCACTTTCACAGGTAAGTTCCCATTTTACTGGAACAAATTTTCCAGTAGTGTCATGGGGAAGATTGTATTTTTGAGGCCTAACATATCTGGAGATATCTCTATTCTTCTCACACTTGATGGGTAGTTTAGCTATGTATACACATTTTAGGTTCCCTCCAAATCTTGAAGGCATTGCTCTATTTTCTTTGAATTCCCAGTTTGTTACTGAGATACCTAATGCCCATTTGATTCCTGAGACTCCGATGAGATCCTCCTCCACCACACATATTCATTGTGCTGGGAAGTCAGCAGACCCCTTCATTCTGCAAACTTGCATCCTTCACTTCACTTCTGGGAAATTTCATTGTATAATCACTTTATTAATTTCATCTCCTCCTGTTTATGTTCTTTCTCTGAAATTCCTATCTTTTGGAAAGTAAAAGTACAGATGTGATTTTCTAAATTTCTGATCTTTCCTCTATGTTTTATATTGTTTTTTGTTCTCCTCTGTGAGAGACTTCCTCAACTTTATCTCCTAAACCTCTATCGAATTTTTTTATTTCTGCTTTCAATTTTTAATTTACAAAAATCATTTCTTATGCTCTCGATATTGCTTTTCTAGATCCTCCTTTTCTTTTTCTGGATGAAATCTCTCTTTGATCTCCTTCACTGCTTCTTTCAACCTTGAAATGCTGAACCTGGGATTCAGCACTCAGATCTCTTCTCTTCTCTATCTACATTCTCTCTTTATGTGGCCTTATTTACTTCTATAGCTTTACATACCATTTATATGCTGGTAACTACAGCCTTTCCTGATACATTGTATAAAATATCTCTCCATAACCACTGCCATCTTCCCAATCCCTGTTTCTTTCCCTTCCTGTATTTTCTTCATTGTTCCTATCACTATGTAATAGGATTCTAGTATATTGTATATTATATAGTATAGTACAGTATAGTATACATTATGTAAGCTCCACAAGAAAATGAGCTTTATCTATTTCATCAAATGTTATAACTCTAGTACCTAGAAGGGTATTTTTTTACCATGCTTCATAAATATTTTTTGAGTGAGTAAATATCTCAGAATATGAAGTCAGCTATTTAAATGTCTCCTTTCATTTTTTAAAACTGTTTCTCTTTCCTCTGAGATCCCTTTTTCTATAAGTTATTTAAAGATAAATAAAGGCTTTTATTTAATTCCCAAATAGCTCTGGTGTTTCATATAATAAGAAGAATCTAAAGTACAGATTGGAAATGATGAGCATGGGAGGAGCTTATTGCCTGGTAGGCTTCGCTATAATAGATGTTTCTGGATCTTGCCATTTTGTTGAGAACCCCAAATGTCAGTATCTGTGGTCTTTTCTATTAGGCCAATGTATTAACTCACAGGAATTTTCCCTTTTTTCTGCCTGGAGGCATAGGCAGAGTTGCCACTCAACATGTATTCAATGGTATGGCCATAGCAATTTTTAGAATATTGACATCCATACCAGAAGTCCCATACTTTCCATTTCATCATGACCTACCAATACCAAGTACAGCTGGAGTCCTTGTGGTCCACCAGAACCCTGCTCTAGTTCTACTGGCAGCATTAGTGACCATGATATACTTATTTCTGAATATTTTCCAAATGTAGAAACCACCTACCCATCATCTGGGGAGGGAAGGATGTTCACAGTCACTCTGCTCACTTTCTCTTAATACTCTTAATTTAAGTATAGCCTCCGTATACTTGCCCCTTGTTATGCCTGGTATCCCTGCGTTCAAAGCCTGTATATTTCGATATTTCCAGAAGGAAAACTCCAGTCTTCTGCTGAGGAAGGATAAGTATATTTGAAGTTATATATTATTTATAAAGACACTCAATCAATCTTTTTTAGCTCAAATTTGTACCACTGTCTTCAAAAATTTCTAATATTTCTCATTCTTGAAATTTCTTAGTTTTGTAGTGCAAATAGACCAGCTTCCTGTCCATTTGTCCCTCCTCCATTGATTTAAATGTCAGCTTTTTCTGCCTTTCTAAGCCAGAAACTCATTCTTGCATTTTCTAGATTCTTTATATTTATCTATGGTTGCCACCTTTTCAGTTCTGTTTGTCTAAGTTTAAACTTAAATTGTTTATTATTATTTTTTTTGCTGTCTTTTTATTTTAAGTTGGGTTTTGGAAAAGAGTGGAGTTAGATGAGAGTGTTCAATCCACTACCTTAACAGTAAATTTTGACCAGTCAATTTCACCATCTAGATCCTAACTCAACATTTATTGATCTTATATATGAGAAATATTGCATGACCAACACCTAAACATGATGACTCTGCTGAAAAAAAATTACTTACACACACACACACACACACACACACACACACACAATTTATTTTAACTCCACAGGAGAAACAGATTTCCAACTCAACTGTGGATAGTTATACACAGGGGTCTCTCTTGAAGGGTTTTAATCATCAACTTGATTCTAAACAGATTTCATGGGATTGAACAAAGAGTGGCATATTGTGAATGGTTCTTTTGAGGATTGTTTAAGAGCATGAAGTGCCTGCTATTTTAAGTAATTTTTTCTGGAATTTATATTAAATTTTTTGTATTGTACCATTTATTTCAAGACAACTGCAATTCAAAGCAAAGGAATATCTATGTAGTAGAGATTTGGCAAGTTCTTAGTAACATGTCAATTTCATCTGCTTGTTTTTTTTTCCCCTCCTTTTTAGCAAGCATGAACTTTTATGCCTGATTAAACTAGTTATAAATGAGTCCTTTTGACCCACAAACTAAAATAAAGCTTATTAGGTTATGAGCCTGACTTACCTAGTTTTAGGAGGATGCTGCCTGTGCAGAATAAGTCTCTGAGTAGATTATGAATGGTAGAAGAATAATTTTGAACTTCAGAAACTGTTTTTAAAGACCTGAAAAAATTAAACAAAAAAGTAATGGTTTTTAGAACACAAGGCTATGTCAGAGTTTGGAAAAGGAGATATCATTTGGAAAACTTAGTGGTGGCATAAACAAAAAATGTCATATTTTGGCCAGCCAGCTTATTAACACCTCTAAACCCATGATTAGGGGAATTTCCTACCTTATGAATTTTGAAGGGAATCAGAGCCAGCTTTCCCCTACATATGCCAACAAAAAAATATGCTAATTTTCCCATTCTCCTTTGCAGGTAGAGTGTGAACACATGATCTAGGCTGGCCAATCATATTCTATCCAAATAGGATTTGACTCAGGAGTTAGTAATACAACCCAGTAGGGCCTTGGAAGTATCCTTTCATTGGCAGTAGTGGTAGGATAGCCAGAGGCTATATCCAGAATCCAGTGACCACACTGAAGATGGTGTCCCATTTTATCTGTGACCATCATGGCAGCAGCATCCTAACCAGACTAATTCTTCCTTCCAGTCTGGATCTGGTTCTCTAACCTTCCTGGTAATTCTCCAATATTTTTTTAATGAATTACTTTTCTGCTGAAATCAGACAGATTCAGTTTCTCTTCCTTAAAACCCCAAACACTGACCAATACTAAAATACTGACAACAAAACTCTAATAACACTTTTAAACTGCAAATACATTTCCACTGAGGAAGCTTGGAGTTAATCAAAAAGAATTGAAGTGAGCTATGTCAGAAACTGGGCATTTGGGCACAGGGGATTTGGGCACGTTTACCTATGTTTCCCTTCCTTCTGTTCTTCAATGTAAAACTCTGCATTGTTAATGATGTCCAAATTCTCCTGGTCTTAGAATATATTACATTCTCCATTTAGGGTGTATAGTTAGAAGTACCTTAGCATGTTTGTAATACTGGGGTTTGCTGGACATTAGTGAAGTGATGTATTTTTGGCTCCAATGTAGAGAAAGTAAGCAGATTTATCCGGGATTTTTTTCCAGGGTGTGATGCCCAACATCCACAAGAAGACTCTGGGATCAAAATGAGACCCCCAAAGATAGCCATTTTCAAACTGGCTGTCCATTAAGATTGCATTTGTAGTTTACTCTTTCTTTTTTGTCTGTGTCCTCAGCTGCTTGTTACGAGATGTAGATTATTGTGGTGAAAGGAGTAAAAGACATTGGAATGTCTTCCAATTCCAAGACAAAGGAATATTAAAGATGTTATAATACAGACAATGGCCTATATAAATCTCTGTGAAAACTTACTCTGAGCTGTGCTTGAGACAGCGAACCGCCTACACCCATAATGCTTAGTGGACACTATGAACTCAATAAAATCTCCTAAGGTTATACAAGCTAGCTAGTTGCTGGCACCCAGCCAGTTCATAGCTGCTAAATGGAGGCCCTTAAAGCTCCAAAGGAAAGGAAAGGAGGTTTACAATTGTAGCCAATGGCACTAAAAACCAGTAATGTATAAACATTTACAAAAAGATAAACATTAAAAAAAAAAACCACACTTGAGAAATTATCCATTGTATATTGTTGACATGAATGAAAAAGACTTAGAACAAAGTTGTTAAATGTGGTTCACCATAATCAACCTATTGTCTAACTACTATGTGTAATGAGAAGAAAGTTTAGCATGCTGGCTAAGTGCATAGGCTTTGGAACCAGGTGCCTAGCTCAATCCTGGCTTGCCTCCTACTAGCTGTCTAACCCTGAATATGTCAGTGAATCTGTCTGAATTAGAGTTTTCTCACTGATAAAAATGTTCACAAAAATAATCAGTTCATACTATTTTTAAGGATTAGTGAAAAAATATTTATGTCACTGTATATATGCTTAACATATAGTAAGTATACAGTTAATCACAGCAATCACCATTATGATCCTCAGACTCAATCTTGGACCCAGATCTGCAGCACCTTCTGAGCTGGCTCTCTCCATGAGTCAACTGCAGAATCTGTCACTCCTTATGTTTTGTGTTTGGCAGTGACTTCCCTTTACTACTTGGCTCTGTCCTCTACCACTGGTACATATGATCCCTTCATTCTTAAACATGTCCAGTCTTACATGGCCAATTTCCATTTCTATGTCAAGTAGAATTTAAGTGTTATGACATACTGCATTTTTGGAAGCAACAAATTAAATGTGTCATCCCTGTCATTCTGCCTTGATGGCACCCCTGGATCTGTTTAGCTTCTTATAAATGTCATCCATCCTATTGCTGCAAAGCCAGAGAACCAGTAGAAGTCCAGCCTGGAAAGGTTTCAGCTACTGTCTCTCCACCAGCATGGGAAGACTATAAATCATACTCTTTGTTTCTGGCCCATTATACCAACCTGCTAACTCAGGCATCACAAAACTTCTAGTTTCCAAGGGGCACTGTAAATAACAACCGATATGCAAATCAATTGCTCTGGGTGTCATCTTATTTATTCACGACTGCTTTTGTTTTAATGCTATCTTCAGATCTCAAACTTGGCATCTTTGACTGCTTTGGATTTGGTTTCTCTAATGTTTAGTTCTCAGACTTCTCATGTTGATTCTATCTTGGCCCACTCGCTGGCCTCAGGCATTTCTATTAGCTAAAAAATTCCCTATTCCAGTTTAGGATTCACAGAAAATAGAGTCCTTGTTTTAAGTGACAGGATGTGTGGTAGTAAAGAAACCACTATAGAAATCCAGTTATCTGGGTTCAATACTTTTTTGTTGTACTTTCTAGCTATGTGGTCTTTGTCAAGTGTCTTCACCCATCATGAGTCTCCATATTTCATTTGATAATTGCTGTTTATATTGCTAAAACTATCATGTGAGAATCAAATGAGATACATAAAATTTTTAAAAAGTACTTTCTAAACTACAAGGGCATTGTTAACTACTCAACACTGAAATAAAAGATGGCTCATAAAAGGTCAGCAGGTAATAAAAGGAGCTATAATCTCCCTTGTCAAAAATAAAGATCCATTTTTCTTAAGATATACTTCTCAAGTTGAGCCCTAATGCCAGACCCTTAAAGCAAACAGAAGCAACAATCTCCAGGCTCAGAACAATTAAAATATCTGCCACTTTTGTTCTTAGCATTCTTTATTACAAGCTTTTTAATTTCTAGGACTAAAAGAAATATTTATTAAAATGAAAATTATAAATTGCCTCTTGGAAAATTAGGCTGGTATAGATGTAAGATTTGGGTTATATCTGCATATAAAACACATTTTTTTATTTGTTATTAAGAAAATGTTTGTATGTAAGTCTTTCTTTTGTCATATCCCTGATGGCCCAAAGCAGAGAGCTGTTCCTATACAGCTTGGGTAATGGGCAAGTGCAGTTTTCCATGAAATGTGAGATTGCTTGTCATTGATAAAATAATAGATTGGGTTGCCTCATGCCTGGCAAACTCACACTGGAACTGAATAAAAGAAATAGGTTTCCATTTGCAAATGGGAATGCTTGAGATGTGCGGGTGAACTTGTGTTCATTTAGGACTGCTATTCGACATTTGCACTGCCAAGGAAAGACCTGTGACATACCCACAAAATGAAACTAAACCCTTCCTTCAGGAAATAGGAAAGAAAGGATTTCAATATTAACATTTGAGCTCTCTCTAAGACACACTTCTCAAAGCCTAAGGAAAGAATCGATTCAACTGAGAATCAAAATGTCTTCTAATTATCCTGTTTGATAGAAAAACATAGAGCAATTAAGGGATTGATCCAGTTACACGGTGTACACACACACACCAGTTACAAGCTAACTTGACATTCACTGCTCAGTCCCAGAGCCTTTGTTCTCTCCAAAACCCTTTTACACATCTCTTCAGGCAATTTGATTTATCATAAATTGTACTGTTGCCAATATTTCCCTGAACACTTGCTTTTTTCGACTATGAAATTAACTCAGACATAACAAACAAATGCTTGAGCCAGCTCTGCTCTCTGTATATGTATGTTGACTGCAAAGTGGCTCTGTCAACTGCCGGATGTCACCTCTGTGCACTGTGTTGCACTCTGTGTGTCCTCGGTCTGGACAAGGGAGAAGAAAGTATGGGACCCTTTGATTACAGGTCTTAGAGACTTAATTGGGATGGCCAAACAGCTTTATCTCCCATGCTAGCTCTAACAATTGGTGGTAGCTACTGGAAAGTTATGGCGGGGATTTTGAGACTGAGTCCACACTGGGTAGGAAAAAGTATTGTGATTGATTAGTAATGCTGGCTGTGGGCTTAGGAATGAGGAAAACTGCCCCTGTGCCATGTATTTACCTTCCCCGTGAGCACCTAGGACCTCAAGTGTTGCAAATCCATCTGCCTAGAGAAGAAGAGTAATAATTCCTTATGGCAGAGGACTCAGGAACAAAGGAGCACAGGACTTAAATTGTGGGACATTTATATAGCACTTTGCCCTTTACAAAGTGTTTTCCCCACGTAGGATCTTATTTAATCCCTCCCATCCCTATCCATCGGGTAGATGTCAATTTTATTTCCATTTTGCAGCAAGAGGATTAAAGGCTAAGAGAATGTAAAATGGTCAGCCCAAGGTCCCACATGGGTCATAAATGGTGAACTCACTACCCAAACCAGACATTCTGCTTTTAAGTGCTGGGGGTTGTGAGTCAATCAAAACCCTAAGTTTCCCCTAGTGTCAAAGCCCTAGCTTCCCAGTGTCAGCAGGTGAAGCTGAAAGTTTGAATTGGATTTGTGTAGCCTCTGAAGAATGTCTGGACCTCAGCAGAGAATCATATCATGCACACTCAAATCAAGTATGGGCACACTCATCATCTTTCTTCTTTCTTTTTAGACAGTCTTCTTTGTGAAAGCATTAGAGCAGTTGTTGTCATTACACAGACATAGAAGAGGCAAAGAGTGGTTGCTAAATAAAATATAATGTTCTTTATTTGAAACGGCTTATCCTGCTTCATTTTTAAATTGATGTAAATCCAACTGCTCAGTCTAATTTCCTTAAGCAACATTAATGCCTTTGCTACTTATCTTCTGCAACATAAAAAATGAGGTGGCTGCTTTGGAAAGAATTAACTGCTTTCTTGAGGGCAAAAGGCTAAATTCCTTCTTGGAGATTCTTGCCAATGGTTCTAATGCAGACATATAGATATACTTATGCAAATGAAGTCATGGGCCACAGAAGTTTGATGATTTGGGAAAGAGTTTGGGTCAAATAAACTCCCTCCACAATTTTGCACCAATGCCACACAAAACTCTTGCTCTTTTGAAATAAATAAGATAGTAATCTCCTCATTCCTTGAGCTAAGGATCATATTCAGGAGAATGATTAAAAACTCACATGAACAATTTATAATGTACACAGTGATTTTGCCTATATTAAATCTCAATCTCAAAACAATCTGTGAGATAATACGATTTCTCATTTTACAGATGAGGGAAACCAGTGTACAGAGAAGCAAAGGAGTGACTTGTCCAACTAAAGACACCTCAAAATCAGTAACTGTAAAATTCAAATCCAACATTCTTTACACCTTACCTTCTGTTCTATCCCCTATAGCACCTTCTCAGTGGAAGCAAGTGCCACCTTACATGTATATAGCACTTCACAGTTTATAAATTCATTTCATTCAAATATTTTAATTTAAATATCTATTGAATTCACTTCTTCAATTTAAATATTTATTAGTCATCTACTATATACCTGCCAGACATTATTTCAGGTACAAGTGATATAAGGTCCCTGCTCTATTAGCATTTATATTATTAGTTGGAGGGAGACAAGTAATGAACAAGTAAGCAAACAAATCAGTAAAATACATTCAAATAGTGATAATTACTATGAATAAAATAAGACAGAATAATGTGATAGGCTATGACCAGTTGGTGGTAGGAATGGAGTGTGCAAGTGTGAAACGTTTGATGGGGTGGATAGAGAAAACTTCTCTGAATAAGATATGTCCCATGAGTTGAGACCTAGATGGCAAAATGCAAGTAGGGAATGTCAGGGGGAAGGTCACTCCAGTCTTATGTGGGAGAGGTGTTGATATTTGAACAATAGAAAGAAAGCCTATGTAACACAAACTGAATAAGCAAAGAGAGAGAAATAAAAGATGAGATGGAAGAGAAAAGCAAGGGCTACAACAAAAGAGTCTTTAAGGCCACTTGTTAGGATTGTATTTTGATTGCTATGGGATGACTTTGCAGAGTTTTAAAATATTTTAATTCCCACAATAATCTGTAAGGTGTTACCAATGTTAAGCGAATCAGAAAACTTAGAGATTTACCTAAGGACACACAGCTAATAAACAGCAAGACTTTGGTCTTTGGAGTCCTAGTCTAGGCTTATTTTCCCATATACTGAAGGTGGGAATGGAAATAAACACACAAAGGAGGAAGCAGCACAGCATCACATAACTATCTCATGAGTATAATAGAAGAGTTTCCTAGGCCAGAACCAAGAACTCATTTATTATGGGAAGTATTATAACTATTTGGGTCCATTGGAAGGAGAATCTAAATTTCTGAAGATCTTTTGGCTCAAGTTTAAGACAAATATTCTGTCAAGTTACTATGGAATATTTAGCATTATTGAATTTCTCCTAAAGTCTAATTTGCTTGACAGATTGCTTTGGGAAAGTAGCCAATGACTAGGGGATGAAGAACTGTTACAATCATAAAGCCGCAAGCTTTGCTTTACTTCTTTCCTCCTTTGCCTCCCACTCTATACTGCTGATCAGTGGATGGTAACACAAATCTGGCTAGGATGGAAATAGTCCTTCCAGCACATATTCTAAAATCCAGCTCATTCACCCTAACTCTACAGTTAAGAGATGTGGAGTTAAAATCTAATTCTACATCACCCATAATATCATTCCAGCCAATATTTCCCTCCTCTGCTCCCTTCCCAAGACATATTGCATGGGATTAATCATTCATTCATTCATTTATTCATTCATAGAATGTCTACTATGCTATGGACTGAGTCCTTGCAAGGTGTTGGGTATATTAATATCACATAGTCTGGGACATAAGGCTCTCACAACCCAGTGGTCTCCTCATCTCTCTCAGACTCACCATCTCTTGTAACTCCTTTTGTTTTCATTGTTTCCTTTAACCTGATTCCACCTGTACAAAAGTTGAAAAAGAAAAGTGTGATTTGTGGTTTGCTCTATCCTTCTAAGATATTAGCCACTACTCAGACTTTATGATCTTCAAAGGCATTGGGGAAAGAATATAGGTCTGGTCCCTTTATTGTCTAATTTCTGTATGCCAAAGAATGGTCTGTACTTAATATCTTCCTTATTTTCAGCTAATGCCCCCACATCTTCACAGTAAAAATCTTTCCTCTGAAATTGGCTTTTTTACCCTTTCTCACCTAATCTGCTTCCCAGCACTTCTGTGGCTCTTGTCCAGAAGAGGGTGAGATCACGTTTGCTACTTAGAATTTGTCTCTTTTGCAATTAAATATGATCCATTGGTCTTTTGGTCACTTAGCTTTCTCTCCTGAATTAGAAAGCCAAAGTCCTTGATACTTCTCAAAAAAAATTATAGTATATATATTTTCATTGCATTGTGTGGTTTTATAAGGGGTTGGCAAGAAGCTCTAAAAATGGCTAATAATGAATTATAGTTGAATGAGAGAAATCTGTGAACAGTCAGGACTGATGGTGGCAGTAATGTTTTCCATGCTTGTGTCCTTGTTTTGCTAATACATGAACTCTTAGAATGCTACATTCAAAGGTGCTTTAGAGATTATCTGGCCTTGTCATTATTATGCTGAGGATACTGGGGCATACAGCAGAAATAACTTAGACATTATTACTGGTGTAGCTTTAAACTGTGGAAATAATAACCATTCTATATGTATGAAAAATGTAAAAATAAAGGGATGCTTGTAAGAATATTACCTGGGTTTTTCTTGCCATCCCTAATCCTATCATTCATTTCCCCAAGACCATCCTGTATCCTAAGTGATGATTCTCCCCTCCTCTTCGAAGGTTTGCCTAGATGGTATGACAGTGAGGATGTTCTACATCATTTGCACTCCACTTCACTGCTGGGAAGAGCACTGTCCCTGAACCAGCCCACTTGGCTGGAGCCCTAAGGGTCTATTTAGCTCTTGCCATCCCTAGGTCCAGGGCAGGGCAAGGGAAGAACTCTGCCCCATCTTCCCAATCAATACTTGGATCCTGCTTCAAAAATGTCCTATTTCCTAGAAGTATACATTAACGTCCCTGCCGTCACATCATGAACACAGTTTATCACCTGCAGGTTGAATGTTTTAGTTAACAAAACAAGTTCCAATTTTACACAAGTTTGTCACACTCTGGATGTTAACTTCAAGCTCCTGGACAGGCCCTCTCTTCCCCAAGGAGCATCTCTAAGACTATGTTTACCCCATCCCAGTCCAAGTCATTCTCTTCTTCCTTGGCTCCATAACTGAAGAACTAACAAGCTAGTAGGCAGAGGCCATACAAGTTATGATTATTAAGAAAACATGTTTATTTTCTAAGTAGAGACTAAGACTCATCCTTGGCAAAGTTTTTCCTCAGTGATACTTTCTGTTCCATCGTCCTCTACCTGTCTGATTGTCTTCCATCAGAAGACACATCAATCACTCAACTTTAGCATCACTGGCAGTGTGTTTTTCTATAAGAGTGATTTACATTGTAAGCCTTACTCTTATCCTAGTGTAGTGAATCATAGCTTTGTGCATTAGAATCACCTAGAAATCTTTCCAAAAATACTGAGGACTCATTATGACTCATTAAATCTGAATTTCTGGGTGTGAAGCTGAGCATTGGCATTGCTTAAAACTTTCCCAGGAGTTTCAAAAACTCTGCCAGGGTTGAGAACCACTGTCTGGTTAAAGGCTGTTTATAGTTTGGGGCACTGTGAATACTGAATGGGTAATATTTCTTTGGGCAGGGCTCTGGTACCTCAAAAACCATACCACATGAACTATTACATACTTTTCCCATATTCTGAATAAATTTTCCTGAGAATCCATAGGACTTAGCTTTCTGATTTCTTTTTCAGGAATTTCTGATAGGAAAAATGAACTCACAGTTATTCTGGAGAGGAAGCTTAACGTATTTCACCACTTGGCCCTGGCGAAGGGCAGGGAAGAATTGGTAGGAGCTTCAAACAAATTGAAGCCAAAGTAGAAATGTCAAAGAAGGGGTCAGACATCATCTCCAAAGAGAAGTAGGTCATGAATCCTGTTTGGTTCAAAGGTATGAGGCAAAAACTAAGAGGAGTTTTTAGTTTAGGAGAAGAGGACAGGTATATAATATGAACATGACAGGAATATAGGACAGAACAAAGTCATTCAAAGACTGGATGCAAAGCGTGACAGTATAGAACTTTAAGGACACCAAGGGCCAAGGAATGTATCAATCTTGCTACAGCATGCTGAATGGGAACTGATGCCTTTTACTTTAAATACTACATATAAAATCGACAGTAGAGACCAGAAAATCTGGGGACACATGGGGCCAAATATCTTGGTAAAAGGTGACTAAAAATGTTTTGGTATCAGGACTGAATAAAAAATATTGGAGCATTTAGATGGAGTAGCCAGAATGTCACTGTAATAGCTCCCTGTCACTAGAGGTGTTTTGATTAAAGCTGAAAGACAGACTATAGGCTCTTCTTTACAAGACACTATCAAATGAATACAGGATGTTCTACAGCCAAACAAGGGGAGAATGCTGACAGGAAGTAAAATGAAGACTTAAGGGTCAGGAGCTGAACAGAAGGAAGTCCAAGGATGACAACTGTGTAGCAGGCCTAGGGTACAGGCAGTCGGTACAGGAGCAAAAAGATGGAGACCTCTGGAAGAGGAGTCTCAGGGAAAAGAAAATGTGTGGGGTGGGCAGAAGAACTCAGTAAAATAGAATAGTGTCAAATCTGATGGGATGTTTCAAAAAAATGTATAGAATCAAAATTTAAATACTCATTATTTTTTAACTATAACCCATTAAGAAGATGGAGTTGGAAGGAGTAGTAAGGTATATAAGAAAACTAAACTCTCCTCTACAAGAATGCAAAATCAAGAGTCTAAAATGGAGAAATCATAAAATATATAATGTCAGCATGCTTACAAAAATAAAGGTGACTACCATAAGGAACTGTTAAAAAAAAGATAAAATCAGTTCTTTGGGGGAGTGTTAGAGCTATGGGCTAGGGGACCAACTATTTTTCATTAAAACCACATTTGTGTTTTTTATTTTTGTTTTAACTAGATGCATGGACTATTTCAGTAACAATAAAATTTAATAACAGTAATTAAAAAGAAAAAAGAAAACAAGAGGTGATAGACCATTTGTTAATGAAGAATTTGAAGAGGAAATTCAATGGCCACCTCCACCAGATAACAAGGTTGCTGTGTGGATCCCCAAATGCCCATGTTTTAGGTTCTCTGTCTTTTTCCCTAACATGGTGTGCTCAGTCAAGCTCATGACATGGGCTGCAGAGATTCAGGGCTATGGGTGGTCAGTGCAAGTTGTGTTGGGAGCACAGAAGATTAAAATGTAATCTTGCTCCTGATCACCCCAGTTATCATCCTGAAATCCAAATCCAAGTGTTCAAGCAGTGTAGGAGGTGAACCCTAAAATTTTGTGTGTTTCTGAAAGGCATTATGAAAAAGTGTCCCCACAGGTGTTTGGTGACGGCCCAGCCCCAGCATTATGTGGTCGATTGTGATGGCCTATTGATAATTTAAAAGCCTCTGTCTTCAAAGCTGGGCCTTTGTGAGTTTTTCCATCTGTACTACCACAGAGACTTGAATCCAATAACTCTAGCCACTTACAGGTCACCAGTAGCCCCGAGGCATGGCCAGGGACTTAAGTTCCTAGACTTTGGATCAGACAAGCCTGCATTTAAGTCTTAGCTCTGCCACCGTCTGTGCAGCCTCAGACATTTTACTTAATCTCTGTAAGCCTGTTTTCTTCAACTGCAGGATGGTGATAACAATCATCCATTTCATTGAGACTTTGGAAAGTAAATACAAGCGAACTTTTGTAAAGTGCTCATGCAGTGCTCTGTAAATGTTAGCAGTTAGTACTAGCTTTGCTGTGGTTTCAATCCATCGTTCTTCCCGGTGTCTCACCCAGTTAAATGGCCACTGACAAGGCAGGGCACACTTCCAGCTTCCTTGCATGCTGCAGAGCACACTGCTGCTATTCAATGCATGCTAATTATTGCGATGGTCAGCCGAGATGATGCAGACAATAGTCTCCTCTCTGGCAATGAGACACTGTCATGGAAAACGCAGCAAAGGCTCTTTATCTCCCTCTGCATAAATGTAGTGCTGAGCAGCATGGCACTTCTATAACCCGTCCAGAACCCTGACCCTCTCACAAGTAATAAGAAAGCTGATTTATCTGAAGCTGTTAGCCATGAAAATACTTTCTGGTTTGATGAGGCTGAAATGCATGCCACATGAGAAAGGAAAACCTTTCTTGGTTTGGGAGTGCTGATGATGTTATGCCCCGTGTGCTTTATAAAAGAAAAGAGGAAAGAGGAGCATGCTGCCTTCAATGTTGCGTGATACCTGAAATGTGTCCAAAGGAAAGAAATTCTCATATTCATATACTACATGCCTCACTTCTCCAGCACATCATGAATACAAACTTTAGCTCCATATGCACACATGTCCACCAAAGAGACAGTGGTTTGCCTTGAAACCGTGGAGATCCTGAGTTTTCATCTGGCTGCATATCTCCTTCCTGTTTCTCCTTCTCAAGTTCTTCAACCCTCTCTCCTGATCATTCCAGCTTTTATCTAATTTCTTTGCACTTTTGTGGACATGCAGTCCCAGGATGGTTCTGTAGGCTTCCCTGCCACAGCGGATCAGGCTTTCCCACCTCTCCCCTCTTTCTCTCCTCGGGCAGCCAGCCTTAGGGAAGGAGCATCACCAAGGCTCCTCCCACCTGTTTCCTTTTGTGTCCAGTCTACCACACCATCAGAACATTCCAACAGCAAATATTATTTGTGTATGAAATTGCTCTTTGAGGGATTTTATATCATTTTATTACTGTTATAAATGATGTCTCTGCCATTGGATATCTCCAAGTTCTTTAGCTTTCTTGTGCCACCCTCTCT